GATCCCGCGCGTGTTAATCCTGCTGCTTCGTCACACATTTTAACAAGGTGAATACGTGTTAGTCTTGCCGCATACGCCTAGATGTTCGCCGTTTAATTAACGCCTCGTTCGAATTCCCAAAGGTGAACAAAGCAGCAAGAACGTAAGGATGGAGGTTTCTTAACGTACTTAGTACAGCGTATTTAAGGCCAGCAAAGCGTGTACACACATGCACGATGTAAGCCTGCAGTCGGACTAGTCAGATAGTGGCTAGCGGCCTAACTGGCTTTCTGACTCATCCGAATGGCGCGGTGGTGTCCTCATCTTGGCCGCAGCCTGCGCGTTATCACAGGCAATGCATGTGTGCGGATCGTTCGTGTGGCGGGAGAACGAGTCGGTAGGGTTGCGTGCGAGCGAGTCGGTTAGGCTGACCCTAACAAAATGTGAGATGAGCATATGCAAAAAGTAATGGCGTCCTGAATTTCATGACCTTTTATTCGATTGCTCACGGTCATTGTGCATCTACTTGTCAAACTAGTGGCCCAATAAGCAGAGTGATCGAACGAGAGAGGTGCATGAGTATCAGAGACGTGTGTTTACTGGTCGCGGGGATACTAGAGTCGCTGAATGCTATTTTTGCAGCGGTCGAATTAATGATTTGTCGAATGAAGGCCGGCTGCTCCGATTGATTTTTTTATCCATCTCAGGGTGCTTACTATCACTGTCAATAGAATTGAATATGCGAGTTCCAGGAAGCATTTCCGAAGAAGAAGAAGAAGCGAGCACTGGAACAAAATGTTTATTGTCCTGACGTTTCGGATTCCGACGGGAATCCTTAATCATAGGTAATAATAGAACAGTCTGAGAACAGTCGGGAATCCGAAACGTCAGGACAATAAACCTCTTGTTCCATCAATAGCTTCTTCTTCTTCTTCTTCTTCTTCTTCTTCTTCTTCTTCTTCTCCTTCGGTACTATCACTGTTTCAAATTAGTTTCTCTGGCCAGTCGCTATCAGCCGATAACCTCTTGTTCTTTTCGTTCCTATCCTCTGTTCAAAACATCGACCAAAAACTTGTGTAACAAGGCCTACGGTGGAAATTCTCAATTTCAGCTTGAATCATATACGAGGCGTAAACTGAAAATGCCGTCCTTCGGTAGTCTTTTCGAGCCACAAGCACTGCCGCAAACGTTTAAGCTGTTTTCTGAGATCTGACGCTACTAAGGCCGTTCTGATTGGCTACCGTCTAGTCAGTTTGTTACCGCTGTCTCAAGGTCATTCGCTCTTGCGCACTTATCTGCAGCCAATCGATCAACTTCCGCTCGAATACACCTCTCGGCCGGTGCAACACACACACCGCTCCTCGGGTAATGAAACACACATACACCACTCGGCCAATGTTTGAACGTGCTTCACAAACCTGTTAAAGTAGCTGCCACCACTGACTGGACGCAGGCAGCACTAGCGTTGGCTTCGCCATTGACCACTGCTACCTGGGACAGTAACAGTGCATTGTGTGCACAACTAATTCCACTCGCATGTACCCTGTGTATTTCCCCTCTAACCGGGACTTTGATCTGATGAAAGTTGTTCGCTCGGAGTACAAACACCGTTCCTTAGGCGCTGCAAGTTCGCGATTTCTGAAAATATTCCCATGTTTGATTTGGAGAGATCATTCGGCAGACATATATTTTCAGCAATTCATAATCAGGTTAGTACAACTGCAGGGGTAATTAAAATCGTACAGGACAGGGTTAATAAATGTCCTTTGATTACAACTCATCATTTTCGTGCCGCCCGCATGGTGAGCTCGGCGTATAGAGGTCCTTGCGCTGGGGAGGAAATTAAGATAGGTTGTGAGCACTGGTCATGGGTCAGGTTGTTGAAGTGACAATTACTGTCATTTGCACAGAGTAAACGACTGTCACTAGGGGGGTAGGAACGATATGCGATCGCCACCTGGCGTCGGCGTCGGCCACGGAAGTGAAAGTGCCTGCATTAGCGTCACCTGACGGCACAGCACTAGATTCGCTAGCCGTATAGCCACTGACTCGGCTGTTGCTAGCACCCGTAGGCGTAGGCCTGGAAAAGAGCGTACGTGAACACATACC